TCCTGTCCCCATTCCTGTCCCCTCCCTGTGCCCCCTTGTCCCTGTCCCTGTGCAGGGCCATGTCCGCCCTGTCCCTGTCCCCTCCCCGTTCCTGTCCCCTCCCCTCCCTGTCCCTGTGCCGGGCAGTGTCCCCCCTGTCCCTGTCCCAGACTGTGACTCCAGTGTCCCTGTCCCAGGCCACGTCCCTGTCCCCACGTCCCTGTCCCCATGTCCCCATCTCCATGTCCCCATCCCCCATCCCTGTCCCTGTCCCTGTCCCCATGTCCCTGTCCCCATGTCCCCATCTCCATGTCCCTGTCTCCATGTCCCTGTCCCTGTCCCAGGCCATGTCCCTCTCCCCCATCCCTGTCCCCATGTCCCTGTCCCTGTGCAGGGCCATGTCCCCCGTCTCTGTCCCCTCCCTGTCCCGGGCTGTGACTCCGGTGTCCCTGTCCCCATGTCCCTGTCCCTGTCCCTGTCCCCTCCCTGTCCTTGTCCCCATGTCCCTGTCCCTGTCCCCGTGTCCCTGTCCCCATCCCCGTGTCCCTGTCCCCTCGGTGTCCCCATGTCCCTGTCCCTGTCCCCCTGTCCCCATCCCAGACCATGTCCCTGTCCCCATGTCCCTGTCCCCTTCCTGTCCCCCTGTCCCCATGTCCCTGTCCCTGTCCCCTCTCCCACCTCGCCCAGGGCGGGCTCCTGGTCGCCCAGCCCCACGATGAGCACGCAGTCGGCCTGGCGGATGCAGCGCAGCGTCCAGGGGGTCAGCGTGCAGTCGGTCTGGTAGAGCACGATGCGGTGCAGGTCCTCCTGCTGCGCCAGCCAGCCCGACAGCCGGTACTCCTGGATGCTGCCGGGGCACCGAGCGGTCAGCAGCGGCCTGGGGGCCGCGGCCACACCGCTGCCCACCGCCCTTACCTCTCCAGAGCCGAGGAGCCCAGGCGGGCGCGGATGATGTCGCTGGTGAGGAGCAGCGTGGGGCCTGCAGAGGTGGGGATGGGGTCATCTCCAGGCCATGGTCACCACTGTGCCATGGGGCTGTGGTCACCACCATGCCACGGTCACTGTCATGCTGTGGTCACCATGCCATGGTCATCACCATGCCACCATCACCCTCATGGTGCCCACCACAGCCAAGACCACCCTGTGGGGCTGCAACCAGCACCACCCCAGGCCACCAGGATGCCGTGACCCGACGGTCACTGCCACGCTCGGTGTCCCTGGTCACTCACCGATGGCGTTGAGCGCGTGCTGCAGCCCCAGCGTGAAGGCCGCCATGGGCTCCTCGTCGCACACGGGCAGCACCGCCACCGTCGACAGGTTGCTGGTGGGGTTGATGGGCTCCGAGCTGGAGGCCATGCCCAGGCCAGGCCCTGGGTGGACACAGAGGAGTGGACACACCGCTCTGGTGACGGCCACCAGCCCCGCAGAGGCCGCCCCGTTGTCCCCAGGTCCTACCACCTGTGTGATCTCACCTGTCTGTCCCCTGTCCCCCTGTCCATCTGTCTGTCCCCCTGTCTGTCGCCTCTGTGTCCATCTGTCTGTCCCTGTGTCCCCCTGTCTGTCCCGCTGTCTGTCCCTGTCCGTGTGTCCCCGTGTCCATCTGTCCCTGTCCCCTCTGTGTCCATCCGTCTGTCCCCCCATCTGTCCCTGTCCGTGTGTCCCCCTGTCCGTGTGTCCATCTGTCCGTGTGTCCCCCTGTCCGTGTGTCCATCTGTCCGTGTCTCCCTGTCCGTGTGTCCCTGTCCGTGTGTCTGTGTGTCCCTGTCCGTGTGTCCCCGTGTCCGTGTGTCCATCTGTCCGTCTCTCCCTGTCCGTGTGTCCCCCTGTCCGTGTGTCCCTGTCCATCTGTCCGTGTGTCCCTGTCCATCTGTCTGTCCCTGTCGGTGTGTCCCCCTGTCGGTGTGTCCCCCTGTCTGTGTGTCCATCTGTCCCTGTGTCCCCCTGTCCGTGTGTCCCTGTCCATCTGTCCGTGTGTCCCTGTCCATCTCTCTGTCCCTGTCCATCTGTCTGTCCCTGTCCGTCTGTCCCTGTCCGTGTGTCTGTCCCTGTCCGTGTGTCCCTGTCCATCTGTCCGTGTGTCCCTGTCCATCTGTCTGTCCCTGTCCGTGTGTCTGTCCCCGTCGGTGTGTCCCCGTGTCCCCTCCAGGTGCCACCCCCGGGTGCTTTGGCTGCTCCAACCTCCCCCCGCCCGCAGGTAAGAGCGCCCCTCCCCCACCCCGCGCCCCGGGGCCCCCGCGGGGACCGTGGGGACCTATAGAGACATATAGGGACATATAGGGACCCTATGGATCCCATGGGGACCGTGGGGACATACAGGGACATACAGGGACATACAGGGACATACAGGGACATATAGGGACCCTATGGATCCCATAGGGGACATAGACATCCTATAGGGACCCTATAGATCCCATAGGGACCCTAGAGATCCCATAGGGGACATAGAGATCCTACAGGGACCGTATGGATTCCATGGGGGCCATGGGGACCTACAGGGACCGTATGGGTCCCATAGGGGCCATAGGGCTCTATAGGGACCATGGGGACCTACAGGGACCATATAGATCCCTGTGGGGCCATACAGATCCCATGGGGGCCATGGGGACCTATAGGGACCATACAGATCCCATAGGGGCCATACAGATCCCATAGGGGACCATATATAATCCCTAGGGGAGCCATACAGATCCCTATAGGGGCCATATAGGTCCCATAGGGGGCCATGGGGACCTGTGGGACCCCTATAGATCCCATAGGGGCCATACAGACCCCAGGTCCCTATAGGGCCCACACAGAGCCCCATAAGGGCCTATAGGGTCCCTATAAATCCCTATAGGGGCTGTACAGACCCCAGGCCCCTACAGGGTCCGTATAGACCCCCACAGGGGCCATACACACCCCAGGCCCCTATGGGGTCTGTATATACTCCTATAGGGGCCATACAGGTCCCCAGGCCCCTATAGGGTCCATACAGACCCCTAAAGGGTCCATACACACCCCAGGTCCCTCTGGGGGTCTCCAGGCCCCCCCGGGGGTCCCTATGGGGTCCATACAGACCCCAGCCCCCCATAGGGTCCCTATGGGGTCCATGCAGACCCCAGCCCCCCCGGGGGTCCCCAGGCCCCTCTGGGGGTCCCTATGGGGTCCATACGGACCCCAGCCCCCCCGGGGGGTCCCCAGGCCCCTCTGGGGGTCCCTATGGGGTCCATACGGACCCCAGCCCCCCCGGGGGGTCCCTATGGGGTCCATGCAGACCCCAGCCCCCCCGGGGGTCCCCAGGCCCCTCTGGGGGTCCCTATGGGGTCCATACGGACCCCAGCCCCCCCGGGGGTCCCCGGGCCCCTATAGGGTCCCTATGGGGTCCATACGGACCCCAGCCCCCCCGGGGGTCCCCGGGCCCCTATAGGGTCCCTATGGGGTCCATACGGACCCCAGCCCCCCCGGGGGGTCCCCAGGCCCCTCTGGGGGTCCCTATGGGGTCCATACGGACCCCAGCCCCCCCGGGGGGTCCCCAGGCCCCTCTGGGGGTCCCTATGGGGTCCATACGGACCCCAGCCCCCCCGGGGGGTCCCTATGGGGTCCATGCAGACCCCAGCCCCCCCGGGGGTCCCCAGGCCCCTCTGGGGGTCCCTATGGGGTCCATACGGACCCCAGCCCCCCCGGGGGGTCCCCAGGCCCCTCTGGGGGTCCCTATGGGGTCCATGCCGACCCCAGGCCCCTCTGGGGGTCCCCAGGCCCCTCTGGGGGTCCCTATAGGATCCATGCAGACCCCAGCCCCCCCGGGGGTCCCCAGGCCCCTCTGGGGGTCCCTATGGGGTCCATACGGACCCCAGCCCCCCCGGGGGTCCCCGGGCCCCTATAGGGTCCCTATGGGGTCCATACGGACCCCAGCCCCCCCGGGGGTCCCCGGGCCCCTATAGGGTCCCTATGGGGTCCATACGGACCCCAGCCCCCCCGGGGGGTCCCCAGGCCCCTCTGGGGGGCCCTATTGGGTCCATGCCGACCCCAGGCTGGGTCCCTCCCCTCCCCTCCCCCCCCCGGTTCTGGCGCTGGGTCCCCGCGGGGCTGGGGGGGAGGGGACGCGTCCGTCTGTCCCCGCGTCCGTCTGTCCCCCGCGGCCGTGCGTGCACGTACGCCCCGTCCATGTGTCCCCATGTCCGTGTGTCCCCATGTCCGTGTGTCCCCGTGTCCCCATGTCCATATGGCTGATGTCCGTGTGTCCCCATGTCCGTGTGTCCCAATGTCTGTGTGTCCCCGTGTCCCCATGTCCATATAGCTGATGTCCGTGTGTCCCCGTGTCTGTGTCCCAATGTCTGTGTGTCCCCGTGCCCATCTGTCCATCTGTCCCAACGTCCATACTGCTGATGTTCCCATGTCCGTGTGTCCTCGTGTCCCTGTGTCCGTGTGTCCCAATGTCCGTGTGTGCCAATGCTCATTTTTCCATCTGTCCCTGTGTCTGTGTGTCCTCATGTCCCCATGTCCATCTGTCCCTGTGTCCCAATGCCCGCAGGACCAATGTCCCCATTTCCACATGTCCCCATGTCCGTGTGTCTCCATGTCCGTGTGTCCCAATATCCATGTGTCCCATGTCCCCGTGTCTGTGTGTCCCCGTGTCCATACGGACAACGTCCCCATGTCCAGATGTCCCCGTGTCCGTGTGTCCGTGAGTCCCTCTGTCCCAATGCCCGTAGGGCCCATGTCCGTGTGTCCCTGTGTCTGTCTGTCCCCATGTCCCTGTGTCCCACGTCCCTGTGTCTGTCTGTCTGTCCCCACGTCCCTGTGCCTGTCTGTCCCCATGTCCCCACGTCCCTGTGCCTGTCTGTCCCCATGTCCCTGTGTCCATGTGTCTGTCTGTCTGTCCCCACGTCCCTGTGTCTGTCTGTCCCCATGTCCCTGTGTCCATGTGTCTGTCTGTCTGTCCCCACGTCCCTGTGTCTGTCTGTCCCCATGTCCCTGTGTCCATGTGTCTGTCTGTCTGTCCCCACGTCCCTGTGTCTGTCTGTCCCCATGTCCCTGTGTCCATGTGTCTGTCTGTCTGTCCCCACGTCCCTGTGTCTGTCTGTCCCCATGTCCCTGTGTCCATGTGTCTGTCTGTCTGTCCCCACGTCCCTGTGTCTGTCTGTCCCCATGTCCCTGTGTCCATGTGTCTGTCTGTCTGTCCCCACGTCCCTGTGTCTGTCTGTCCCCATGTCCCTGTGTCCATGTGTCTGTCTGTCTGTCCCCACGTCCCTGTGTCTGTCTGTCCCCATGTCCCTGTGTCCATGTGTCTGTCTGTCTGTCCCCACGTCCCTGTGTCTGTCTGTCCCCATGTCCCTGTGTCCATGTGTCTGTCTGTCTGTCCCCACGTCCCTGTGTCTGTCTGTCCCCATGTCCCTGTGTCCATGTGTCTGTCTGTCTGTCCCCACGTCCCTGTGTCTGTCTGTCCCCATGTCCCTGTGTCCATGTGTCTGTCTGTCTGTCCCCACGTCCCTGTGTCTGTCTGTCCCCATGTCCCTGTGTCCATGTGTCTGTCTGTCTGTCCCCACGTCCCTGTGTCTGTCTGTCCCCATGTCCCTGTGTCCATGTGTCTGTCTGTCTGTCCCCACGTCCCTGTGTCTGTCTGTCCCCATGTCCCTGTGTCCATGTGTCTGTCTGTCTGTCCCCACGTCCCTGTGTCTGTCTGTCCCCATGTCCCTGTGTCCATGTGTCTGTCTGTCTGTCCCCACGTCCCTGTGTCTGTCTGTCCCCATGTCCCTGTGTCCATGTGTCTGTCTGTCTGTCCCCACGTCCCTGTGTCTGTCTGTCCCCATGTCCCTGTGTCCATGTGTCTGTCTGTCTGTCCCCACGTCCCTGTGTCTGTCTGTCCCCATGTCCCTGTGTCCATGTGTCTGTCTGTCTGTCCCCACGTCCCTGTGTCTGTCTGTCCCCATGTCCCTGTGTCCATGTGTCTGTCTGTCTGTCCCCACGTCCCTGTGTCTGTCTGTCCCCATGTCCCTGTGTCCATGTGTCTGTCTGTCTGTCCCCACGTCCCTGTGTCTGTCTGTCCCCATGTCCCTGTGTCCATGTGTCTGTCTGTCTGTCCCCACGTCCCTGTGTCTGTCTGTCCCCATGTCCCTGTGTCCATGTGTCTGTCTGTCTGTCCCCACGTCCCTGTGTCTGTCTGTCCCCATGTCCCTGTGTCCATGTGTCTGTCTGTCTGTCCCCACGTCCCTGTGTCTGTCTGTCCCCATGTCCCTGTGTCCATGTGTCTGTCTGTCTGTCCCCACGTCCCTGTGTCTGTCTGTCCCCATGTCCCTGTGTCCATGTGTCTGTCTGTCTGTCCCCACGTCCCTGTGTCTGTCTGTCCCCATGTCCCTGTGTCCATGTGTCTGTCTGTC